TTTTTTTTGGAATAGGGAGAATGTGAAGGAAGAAAGAGTAAGGAGTTGCACACTGCAATTTTGAATTTAGGCCGAAACCATAAATTTAAGTAAACCCAATCAAAACAGCTGAAGCTGTAGGTGCTATTTATAAATAAGTTCAATGTTTTTTACTTTGCATTGTACATTAAAAGTATAATATTGATATCAAAATTATTAAATTGTTCTTAATAAATAAATATGAAGAAGTATTTTATTAAGAAGATTATAATAATTTTAGCGTGAGAATTATATTTTTAATATATAATGTTACTTGGAAAACATTTTTTTACTTTTAAATTAGACATTAAATTTTTATTTTTATTTAAAGATACAAAATTTTCATTTTTCTAATTAAAAATATAAATTTTATCATATTTTAATTAAAATTACTATTTACAAAAAAAAATTATTATTATTGTTATTTTAAATTAAAGGATATCAAATTTTTTCGTTTCTGAATTATTTGATAAATTTTTATTGTTTTCTAAATAATGTTATAAATTTTATCATTTTAATAATAATAATAATAATAATAAAAGTTTGAATGTTTATCTTTATCGGGGCTCGTCTCTCGTTCTCCTTCATACAGCCTTTCCTGAGATATAAAAGACGTATTTTCACTGGACAGTAGCCTTACCCCTCGCTTCTTCCTCACTGCCAACCGCTGATTACACAGCGGCCACTACCAGAAAGATGTCGGAGCGCGACCGGCCCCGTGATCGCGACCGAGACCGAGATCGGGAACGCGAGAGAGAACGCCGAAGGGATAAAGATGAACGGGACCGGGAGCGCGATCGAGACAGACACAGAGAAAGAGATAGGGACAGGGACAGAGATCGAGACAGAGTTCGCAGCAAGAGATCTCGTTCTCCGGAGCGTACTCGATCTCGGCACAACCGCTCACGGACGCGTTCTCCTGACCGTTACCGCTCCCGTTCGAGGTCTGTAACCCGTTCTCCTGAGCGCTCCCACCGGCGCAACCGCACTCCTTCCGCTGAACCCCCGAAGAAGCGTAACCGCCACGAAAACGATGAGAGGGAGAAAGAAAAGGACAGACACAAGGCAGTATCAGATTTTGTTGACGGCATTGCGAAAGAGCAGGAGCAAAAGAATGAAAATTTTGATAATGAGAATGGAGATGAGGATGAGATTGAGATGATGAAGAAGTTTGGAATTCCAATTGGGTTCGATTCCACTAAAGGAAAGCCCGTCTCTGGGGCCGATGTGAGTGGGGTTAGGGTTTCGACTAAGCGGCAGCCTAGACAGTACATGAACCGGAGAGGTGGCTTTAATCGCCCCTTGCCTGCAGAGCGTAACCGCTAGATGGATGGATTAATTCGAGATGCGTCAAGGTTAGGGTTTTTCATTTATGTCTTTTGCTTTCATCATTTTTTTAGTTCACTGTTGGTTCACTGTTGCTTCATTGTTGTTTCAGTGATTGGAATAGTTTACGTTTTCTTTTTAGTATGAATGACGTTTATTTTTGGAATTAAACAGAGCCTTTGAATTGGGTGAATTAGTTGATTAGACTGTGGTGTTTAATTGTTCTTTAATCATTCCAAATAATGGAAGTTCATATGCCATGGATTGCTATCTACTTAAAAGATTTTTGGGTTCTTATTGAATTTAAGGATGAAGATGAGGTGTTTGATTTCTATTTCCTTAGTTCTGGTGTTCGATGCTTTCACCTTATCTTGAATAAGAATGGATTTAATTTACCATGGGTACAAATTTTGATGTCCTAAATGTGACAGCTAGAGACTTCTATTTCAAACTTAGTCTATCCCAAGTTGTTGTTCCATACGGGTTAGTCATCATCCTAGCATTGAGGATGGTTATTCATTCTGGGTTTGAGGGATTAGTTGGGGTGCTGGCGTCAAAAGGAAGCTGTACATTAAATGATTCTTGACACCAGAAAGAAGTCAAGCGGCTTTCCTCTTGAACATCATTGTGAGTAGATACATGGTTGGTAACTGATAGTTCTTGTGCTTCACTTGTTTGATGGATGTGAGCTACACTAAAGTACCTAGGTACGATGAAGTTGGGTTTTGATGGAACTCAAATTTTTTACCATAGGGATGCAACGTGCCTGGCCATCCTCCAAAACCATTTTCTTAGAGGGATTCATTCAATTTGTCAGGCATTTGAACAAGGAATTGATCCAAAAGATTGAATTTCCCTGGATTATAACATGCTCAAATCAAATTTATGCATGGAATGGGTAATTATTAGTCATAGAGGAAAATATTGAGAAAATAAGTATTGTGGAGTTCTTTTATAATGTTAGCATACTTAGGATGAATTATGCTAACAACAGTTTACACTTTACGGTTAGGGTTTAATGTTTAATCTTTTTAGAAATAGGATATGGAAATTATAGCTTTATGCATTCTTATCTTTAGATTATTAATTGCTTGCCTGATTTGATGGCTGACTGAAGTTTCTCCTGTATTTTGTGCTTCTGACTGCATTAGATGGTCTTTCTTGAAGAACAAAAAGCAGTCTATTTTTTCTTTTCCTAGAAAAAAGTAACTAGTTCATGCTAGTTTGCTTTTGTTTTTCCTACAGTGAGAGACTACAACAAAACCAATCTTTGCAGTTGGGTGAATGGTTAAGCTCTTTTTTGGTATTTAAGGTCTTTGAATGCGTATACTTGTTTGCATTTCATCTTAGACTACATGATATTGACCTATGGATCTTTCTCTGTACAAAACTTCTAGTCGGCCATGATATTCACATATCTGAGAAAGTCTCCTTACATGGTTATTTTTTTGACATCCCAAATTAATTTCCATTTTCTTATGAATTAATTAGTAATTAACCCACTAGTAGCAGCATTTTTTAGGTCATTGAACATGAAATTTTTTCAGGTCAAGGTGCTGGGCACCAAGAGCACTTAGACTCCCCCAGGCAAGGTGCCTTAATGATGCGCATGCCTTTCCTCCTTACCTAGTGAAATCAAAGAACATAGAAAAAGGCTTCTTCTCCCCTTGCCTTTTCACAGTCGCTGATAGAGCTAGGCAAAGCCTGCCCTTCACTAAAAAGTAAATTCAGCCTTATTTCCACTTGTATGATATGGCCTTATATCATACTTTATAGTTTTAACCACACTGTTATAAATGTTTTTATTTTAATTAAATGATGATACTAATTATTATCACATCTATTCACATTTTGGACCATTGACCCCCAAAGAATCAACAGCTGAGATTATACCATTATTTGACTTTTATTTTAAGTAGTGAAGTTAATTCCGTAAAATGTCATAGTTTTTAATTATGATTTTCATTTTATTGCAGATTGGCAATGTACCCCATCAGAAGTCAAGTGATAAGTCTGGACCCAAGATTGTGCCTCATGAAATTTTGATTATAGATTCTTCGGGCTATTGGAATTGAGCTTCCAACTCTATAATTTTTGAATGCATGGATTTTTGTATTAAGAATTGTAACTGATTGTATTCAACACTTAAATTTTACAGTGTTGGACTTTAATGTTGTAAACTTGGATTTCTTCATCATTTAACAATTGGCGATCAAAATGTCTAGGTTGGGCAGCAGATTATGTTGCAACTCTGTTTTTGCATTGTGATCTCACCATTGTTGACTTCACATGCTATTGCATGTGAACTGGTGGGGACCCGCCGAGCAAAGCAAATCAACTGGGAGCTCGCTCTTTCAGGCCTCCTTCCCCCCGAAAAGGAAGGCCTAAAACTATACATTTAACATGGCCGAACAAGTTGTAATAACACGTTACTATTTTACGTCATAAGAGAAGTATCTACAAAACTGCAAACATAGAAGCTACCTTATTAGCATGGAAAACCAGAAAAAAAAACCTCCACTAAAGAGCTCTACAGAGGTTCTTTAGGTGGTAGTTGGCTTTTGGATGACAAAGGCCGTGCACTGAACCTGACTCTTGTCAAATGCCTAGCAGCAAATATAAGCATTTGGGTGTAAGCATCTTTTGCACTCTTGGATCTCTTTCATGACTTGGGAGGAGTCATTGCACCAAAACATTGGCAGCTTCCACAGTGTCCAATACACCTCGTCATGGTATTATCATCTCTAGGCACCCACCCAACCTAACATTTTAAATTTTAATTTAGTTCAAAGAAATTTCAGTCTAAATTAAAGGGAGTTTGCAGTTTGCATTTACCTCATCGAATTCAATGCAAAGGATCCAATTACCCTTTTTGAGCATGTAGTCAATTTCTTTTGCAGTTGAGTCGTCTGAGAGAGGAGCGAGGTAAGACACAGTCTCAAACTTCTCGTTGATTGGATTCCATGTCTGTTAAAGCATGAATAAAAGAAATCATCTTTTCTTAGATTACATTACCTTCATGCAGTGAGTTCTGAAACCATTAGAGGCTGTTTCCCGGCTCCATGCAAGGGAATCCTTACAGCCGGGAGCAGCTTCTATGAACTTGGTTTTAGGCCCACGCAGCTGGCTCCTGTAACCGTAGCTGTAAAGATGCCGGTAGACATGTGTCCAAAGTGGGTGCAGGAGATGGTGCAGAAGTAGAAAGGAAGGAGCGTTTATTAAGAGGTGGTGGAAATGATTAGGGAAAGGGGACAATGGGAGTTGGCTGAATGCTTGTGAGATGATTTAAGAATTGACAACGTGCGCAAGAGAAATCGAGGGGTATTCACGCTCTAAAGCTTCAGTCTCGATCATCACCAATGTTCTGCCTATTCACCATTTCGAGCCTAGAGGTGTGCTGAACAAGCAAGTGTCACGCCCATATGTTTCAAAGAGTAACGCTAACAGTGTCCACCAGGACATCCAACCCACATCAGATATGAAAGCATAGAACTTAACCAAAATGACTTCTTGAAATGCCAAATACTCTGTATTTCAAATTAAAAGTTAATACCCTAGAAGTATTCGGATGTACACAAATAATATGCTTAAACCGCCACTATTGTCTCGTAAGTATACAATTCAACATGTTACTATGATATATTTTCTTTTTAGGTTGCATTTATTTATTTAATATTAAGTCAAATTATATAAATTATTATTATATCATTACCAAGGGATGTATTTCTAATCATCTGCCGCATTCTTCCTGTCACCTGTCAAGATTTTTATGAACTGATGCTGACAACGTTGATAAAATGATCATAAACATGAACAAATTTCAGAATCTCATGTTCAGTCAAACGAGTCTATAATTAAGCAATGATTATTAATGGGTGTGTTTGGAACTCCACTTAAAGTTGCTTCAACCATTTTCAAGAGGAGAAGAGCTAAACATTTGCTCTGGCACATAAATACATTGAATGATGAGCCAGTAAATAAAATGAGGAATGGGTCAAGGAATGTATTAGAAAAGGAGGATAAGATTTCTTGCATTCTTAAGTGATCATAAGAATGACAAAAGCTAATTGTAAACATAAATCATGATGTGATAGTCTAAATGAAGAATGTTATGGGCCCAAAGAATTATGGTTCACAAACCTTGCTGAGGTCTGTGCTAAAAAACCTATTCCATCTAATAGCAGGACCCTTTCTGACAAGAATTTCAATGCCAAAGCTTCATGCAGAAACCGGCAGGAACAACGGATGATCTTCTACTTGAGATACAATCTGAAAAGGTATCCACAAGCTGTTCTGCAAGAGATGCTGGATCATCCATGAAAGTGTCAACAAAGACCTTCACAACCCTGACCTCCTGTGGAGTTGCTCTCAAGCTGTACCAGGTCAGGAACTTCTGCCTAAAATTCTTCTCTATATGTCCCTCACATTCTAACCATCTAACCACCTTCACATAATGCTCAAAATCACTATCTGACAGACCATTGGCCATGCATTCTTCATCCCGCCTTTCCCCATTTCTCTTCTTTGAAGAACCTCCATCTTGAGTCTCCTTTCCTTTCCCAGTCCCATTTTCTGCATCCTTGCTGCTGGATTTTGATCTCCCATTCCTTCCCTGCCCATCTTTAGATATTTCCAACCTGCAGGGAGTAATGGGCACGCCAGCTTCTGAGCTACCCATGTAAGGCACACATTCCAAGCCAGCCTGAACTGGGGCATCAGACCCATTGTCAGTGCTCATCTCCTCAATCATATGGCCCTCTGAAACATGCCTTTTCTCAACCTTTAACACATCAGAATCTGGCAAAGGATCGGCCACCTCCATGGCATGCTCCTCTCCCAACAAAGAAACTGCATCAGGGGGGGTTCTATCTTCACACAGGATAATGCAGTTGTTGGCACCGTTGGACAAATTCATGGAAACGGATTTATCAGATTCCTTGCAATAGCTATTGTAATTGTCTGCCCGGTCATCGTTCTGATCACCATAAGGAGTGATGTTATTAGTTTCATCTTCTACTGAAGATGGATTAGAAAGGCTGCTACAGTTGGTAGCTGGGCTCTGACTCCTTTCTATTACTGAGCAGTTTGGAACTTGATCCCCATTACCGGCTGTTGAGAACTGAACTTCACATTTACCCAGCTCTCTTGAACCATTAAAACAAACAATTTTAAAATGATACTTTGTAGCTGGAGTCAGTCCTGTCACAACAAACCTCGTATTTGGTGCAAATAGGGTGCAAGTTGATTTCACAGGATAATCCCTGTCATGAGCCTTACGATGCCATAAGGTGTAACCCAAAACACCACCCTCTGAAGGTTCTTTTGAACCAAAAATCACAGTTAGGGACGTTGGCCGAACATCTTCAAAGTGTACCATTGCTGGTGCAATAGGATCTGAATCTGGAGATGTTGGAGAACAAACTGACATCATTCAACAAAAAAGAAAAATAATTACTTACTGTATCAACATGAATGATTATGATGTCTACTTGAAGTTTCTGCACATATTTGCAGTTCACGCTGTGAAGTTGGGAAATGCTAAACCTTATAGCAAGTACATAGTGATGCAGAATTAGTTCTTGAACACTAAAAGCGGCAATTTTTCATGTTGAGACTGCCAAAAGCTAAAGATTACCTTGCATGATAGGATTGGGTGAAGAATGCACAACAGTATCAGAAATCATTTTGTCCAGTCTCTCCACAGCAAAAGAACAGAGTTTCTGAACTTCTGGTCCAGAAGAAAGCCTGTTAACAATACCCCTACCCATTTTCACTGGTATACCAGTTAGTGGACCGACTTCAGCTTCAAGCTTCTTAACAGCTTCATCGACAATTTCAGAAAGCTTTTGGTACTTTTCAGTCCCATTAAGAAGTTTTTGCGCCAAGGACATGCGATAACAGAGTATGTCAACCCTTCTGGTCTCCTTCGCAACTACCAGTTGTTTTTTCCAGCAACTACAAGCATTTAAAAACCAATTATAATCAGAGTGTAAATATCACAACTCAAATGATTTCTCCAGATGTAACTTGCATGATAAAACATAGCAAGTATCACAACTCCTCGGGACAGAAGCATAGCAATCAACAGTTTTTTTTTACATCTTTAAATGAGTCATCCATAAATAATAAATGCTACACATTTAGGCTTTTTAATCAAAATCAGTAAGGGGACAAAAATCTGCCCAGCACGAGAGGACATAAACATGAAAAACAAACAAAGAGACCAATAGCAAGAAGTACTTACCCAAGTAAATCATTTATTTTTCTACAGGAAGCACAATAAAAGCTCCCATCAATGCCTCCACGCCGTCTATCTTTCCCAATTCCAGAACTTTCATGCTTTAAGGCACACTCAAGATGGCATGACAGGCCACAAGAATTGCCTTGAAATCGAGACTCAGAACTGCAAATTAACCAGAGGCTAGGATCCTTATTGTCATCATACTGAAAACAGATGCAGCATGAGCATCTCTTACAAAATGCATCCTCTCGTCTCATGGTAGCTTTACAAGCAGAGTTTTTGCAATAGGTAGTATTACTAATGTCATTTCCACCATTATCCATTGAAACATCATCCACTGAAACAGCCAATCTAGAAGGATTATCAGCTTTCCTCTGCCTTTTAGATGCTTTTTGACCAACTGCAGGGGAAGAATGTGGTTCAAGGTCTGATAAGACCTCATGTTCCCCTGATTTCTTTTCAGCTATTATTTTTAGAAGATTTTCGATGATTTTCTGCTTCGTCAAGCCAGTGTATTTCCTTTCCTTTCCCATCTCTGCACATAGAATCTGTAAAATCTCCTGTCGGCTCCATGCCTGTAGCAGTTCAGAGGCCCCATACGGTCTCTTTGATAATTCATATACAAGTTCTCTCTTTTCATCCACACTCATCTTACTACAGTTTGAAGGATCAAGTGAAATTCCTGGGACCAAAGAAAAGAAAACTGCACCTTAATATATGGAAGGAAGGGAGGGTTCCAATGAAAGAGCATAAAACTTTTATTAAGTTCCCAAATAGGAGAAAAAAAAGCAAGAACACATAACCAACTACCATATACTGATATACATAAGCAATCAGAAATAAAACCAACTAGTAAAAAGCAACACAATGATCCTCAACCTATTTGAAACAAAATAACTAGTGGTTGACTATCATTAAAAAGGACATTCCAACTACATCAAAAAGACTTGTTAATTTACAGGATGCACCAAGGAAACTAGGTACAGGCTCATCAAAATTCAGATAAGTAATAAATTGAAAACAATATCATTAGACTTTTAATATGCCCTTCGGCCCTCCACCATCATCTAGCAGCAACATGGGTCGTGCTTGCTAAATACAAGCTAGTAAAACAAGCTTACTTCAAAACATAAATGAGTATCCATTCCGCAAATGCAGCAATATAAAATGTGAGGAAGACGGTCCAATCAAATACAGGGAACCAGCTCAGAAATTTCACCCACCAGTAAAAACTTCCAAGAACCAGTGCTAGAATGTAGAACAACATCAAACCAAGAATGATCTCAAACTCCAAATATTGCCAGAAACAGAGCATTCTTCTAAGAGAACAAAAAAAAGGCATCAACATTTATTGATGCCCAGAAAATCCCAATAACTCTAACCAACACCCAGAACATCAAAATCACAGATAACATAAAACTGAAATAATTTGGCACTATCATGAGAATTACCAATCCTGCAAAAAGATCTGACTTTTAGAAACAAGAATTCAACGCTTAAATAATGAATCTTTCATGAATCCAAACTAATAAGGACTGGAACCCAGAAAATGAATTACAAATTATATTTTAAAAAATAAAATAAAATAAAATAAATTACCCTCAGAAGAAGAATCCATAGCGACCGTAGTTTAATAAGATAGTACCCAACTCACCCACATTACCATCAAAACCCCAGCTTTTTCAACCCTGAAAAAGAGAGAGAGATCCCATTCAGAAAGCACCAATCAGAGACTAAAAAAAAGAAGCAAAAATAAAGAAATAAACAAAGACCCAGAACAAAAATAAACCCAACAAACAAGGAAAGGAGAGAGGCGAAGATTAATATGATGGGGAGAGAGTTAAAGAGAAGGGAATAAGTATAACAAATACCAAGAAAGGAAGCTTGAAATTCTGCCACAACAAAAGAATCCATGAAATGTGAAGCCCCTATTCTTGTGTATGCATATAGAATATAGATTATGTTGCTGGTATGGGTCCTCTTTGTGGGGTTTTCCTTTCAGAACCCGAAGCAGTGGTTAATGGAGACTCGACTCGAGGACTTGTTCCAAGGAGAGAGAAAAAGGAAAAGTCGAAGCAAATAAATAGAAGGGTCTTTACCAAAATAAAAAAATAAAAAAATAGAAGGGTTAATGCCATCTATCATCCCTCTACTATAAAAAATAATGCAATTTAAACCTTCTACTATCAATTTACCTCATTCCTCCCTCTACTATTAACTAATTTCACCTATCCTCCCTCTATAATTCAAAAACGTGTCAAGGTTGTCCCTCCATCCAATTTAGACTAACGGTGCCATTTATTAACAGTTTAACAGCAAATGGTCACAGGATTAGGCTTTTATTATTATTATTTTTTCCACACATGCCTTGTGAGTCCCACCCTTATCGCATCATCTCTTTAAACGGTAAAAAAATCCCCAAATTAGAAATCCCTAAATCAGTTTTTTCTCTCTAATTTCTTTCTTCCTTTCAAAACCCAGCATCTGAGAAGCATTAACCCACCCAAATCAAAATCCCCAAATGAGAAATCACTTTCTTCCTTCCTTTTAAAGCCCAAATCAAAAATGCCCAAATCACTTTCTTTTCCCAATTTCTTTCTTCCTTTCAAAACCCATCATCCGAGAAGCATCCTTGTCTAAACCCCATCTGAGAGACCATGAGAAACCCTAGAACAAAAGTATCAACTCCATCAACAATCAACAAAAATCATTAGGCATATTCAAGAAGTTTGGGTGTTGACAATGTCTTAGAGAGACACTCAGGGTTTGGTTCTTCTTTTACCCCACAATCACACTTGAATTCTCAATATATTGGATTTTGCTTAAACCCCATAATCATGCTTGAATTCAAGAATCCAAACATAGATAATCATAATTACATAAGAAAATCTCAATACTTAAGTTGGAAAGTGGAAATAGCTAAGTCTGAAAATAATCTATAATCTAGAAAAGAGAAAGGATAACAAAGCATAATTGAATTAAATTTTGCAAAAGAGAACGCAATTACCAAAGATTCAAGATGCTTATCAATAAAAGAAACTTTGTCTTTAATCACAACTAAAGCATTAGCAATTGCAATGAAGGCACAGTAATTCCTTATTGGCACCTCTTGTATTTGCCTTTAAATCCTCTCCACATCGACCTGAAAAAGCTCTGGTTCCTTTTTAAAAATGAATTAAACAGAAATCAATTACAAAATTCTCTAGAAATTTGACAAATTCAACCACACAAACTGCAAGGAAACAAATGAGACCTTATGGAGGCGATCAAGAGTGAACAAGAGGAGCTCAGAAACGTAAGGTTGTTAAGCAGCGAAGGCAAGAGACAAGAGACTATCTGTGGCTAATGTTGTTGACAATAACAGCGACATATTTTCTCCATTTTTTGGGTGCATTTCCGTCTTCTACAAGCTCTGAATCAAGTCTTCCATCACAAAGAGGAACAGATCTATTACAGAGCTTTGCTTCTCCGCGATCCATTCAGTTTGGATATGAAGGATGGGTGGGGCCCACAAGGTGGGGTAAAAAAAAAGGATTAAAAAAGGCTTAAACGTATGGTCATTTGTCAATAAACAGTATCGTTAGTTAAAATTGGATGGAGGGACGACATTAATACGTTTTTGAATTGTAGAGGGAGGATAGGTGAAGTTAGTTAATAGTAGAAGGAGGACATGAGATAAATCGATAGTAGAAAGTTTAAATTGTATTACTTTTTTATAGTAGAGGGACGATACATGGCATTAACCCTAAATAGAAGGAAAAGTTCTAGAAATGGGCCCCCCAACGAATTCATATATTCTGATTAAGTTCGTATACTAATTTTCATCTCAATAAGTCTTTTCAAATAATTTTCATACTACTATAGTACCATTAAAAAGAAAATATTCATATATTACAATTTAAATTATATATTAAAAATATAATTTGTCTTATAAATTTATTAAAATATATTTAATAAAATAATATAAAATTTTTTATTTAATAATATTTTAATAAATTCATAAAAAAATTACATTTTTAATATATATAGTCTATTCTATAAAATATTTTAAAAAAAGACAAAAAATTACATATAATTGCGAGACTAGCCTTCATGCTGACTGACTAACTAAATCTTTAAATATAAAGGCTTTCTCATTTATTAACAAAATTCAAAAAGGTAAAATCCTCTTCAGAATTATTTTCCCCGTACAAGTTGAACCACTCACTTTTTCTTATTAAAAAAAAAAAAGAATTATATGATTGCATCGAGTTCGAGATGTTTAGGAGCGCAACTACCCCTAACCACATGCGTATGGCAGTGTCTCTAGAACTAAAGAGGGAGTCCTTGCAAGGTACGGTGCTTAGGTCCTATGAAAATTCAGCCTGACACTTCCCCTGCTCCTTTGGATCCATCCCTCTCCTCACTCCATAGTCCATACACAATTCTGCTCTAAAACAGTAAGGCACACCTTTCCATTTTATATACTGAATTCTTGGAATTATGCACTCAAATCTCTAATCTCATTTTCAGGTACTGTTCAAGAAAAAAAATCTCTAATCTTATTATGTACGATATTTTGATGTAATGCGTGAAGCAAGCACTATTATAAAAAGCACAAATTTAATAAGGAAAAATTCTAACTGTACTCAGATAAAGATTGAACTCTAACAATTAAAAGACGAGCCTATAGGTCAGTGATTTATTACTTGAAATATTAATTGGTTGGTTAATCTGTAAATACTTATTGATTATTTTAAAAAAGAACAATATAAGGTAATTATTGTCATCTCTTCGTTTCGATTTAGTAATATGGATATTAATTTTGAGTCACTTACCTTTTTATGAATGATATGTTTGAGTCTTCTGAGATATTTGTGCTTGAGTCCATTGAAGTGTTTTAGTCTTATAAATCTCCTTTTTTTTTTCATTTATTTAATTAATATATGTAACTAGTTTTAATCTATTTAAAAAGAGATAATTATTGTTGCGCGGACCTATATATGTATATTTGTTTAAGCCACACAACTTAACGGTTTGGTTAAGGTTATTCAAATTGTCAAAATTTTTATTTTAATTTGATTATTTAAAATAATTAATATTTATTATTTAATTATTAAAA